TGGCAGCACAGCCCAGAGACAGCCGAGTGCAGGAGCAGCTCCTGTGCCAAGAGCAGCAGGGCTGCGGGCACTGCCTGCTGCTGCGGACAGCAGAGGAGAGAAGGCAGCGAGAGGGGAACGGCAGTGTGGAGAGGGAGAACAGCGGAGAGCTTGACATGGTGAGTTTCTGGCTACAGGGCAGCGCTACTTAGTCTCCTGGAGGGGTCTTCTGAACTCAGTCCATGCCTTTTGGATTGGATTTTTAATCATCTCTCTCCTGGAGTATCCAGGGCATAACGCGTGAAGGAGATGCTCCAGAGCAGGGATTCCCTGCCATACTGACAGGAACAGAGAGAGCATCCTGATCCATTCTTCCTGCTCCGTTCTCCCAGGATGGGAAGACAAGTAGCAAACCCAGATCTGTGCAGGAATGTATTTTGGGGCAGTCTCCCTGTAACTGCTCTGTGCCTGGGGCAGTGACTCTGCTGCTTTTGAGCGTTTGCGCTCAGCCTACCCAAGGAGCCCACCTTGCATATCCATTGAGAAGTTCTGGGTGGGAGAAGCAATACCCAGCAGGGCATGTTCTTTCTCCTATGAAGAGGTGCTGCATGTGTCAAGGCTGGTCACAGCTATAGCTCATGCACAGGACATGTCTGAGGGGACCTTTCAAGAGGAAGGTCACTAGAAGGACTGATTGAAAAGAATAGGAGCTTTCCTTTGGGTCTGTGAACTTTCAGTTTCCTACTTTTTGCAGGAAGAATGAAGGAACAAGTTTTTTGTTTTGGCAAGGATCTGGGAGATTAATAGGTCTATGAGAAACCTCAGCAAGCTGCTTCATCCCCGCCTTAGCCTACAGGCAGCACCAACATCACCTTTGTGGCCTCATAGAAATTTGTGGCCTGCTCATTCTGACCTGCTACCACAAAGCTGCCTGTGGACAGTGGTCAGTCCCGAGAGATTTTTGTAGAGCAGAGCTGAGCACACAGGGAGGTGTTGGATCTGTGAGCAGTTGCAGGGACAAGACATAGGGACACAGGAAGAACTGGCAGCAGGGACAGCTGCAGGCAGCAGAGATGGGCAGGGAAGGGGAAGGAAGTGCAGGGCAGGAACTGCCCCCTCTCCAGCCAGACCTACAGCAGAGGAGAGGGGCAGCTCTCCTTTCATGGACCCATTTCCTGTCCCTCCACCAAAGGGACTGAGAGCAACTGTCCTGTTATGACACCCTCTGCGAGGTGGCATGCCCAGCTGGTAGGGTGAAGGCTTTCCAGAATGCCTCTCTGTCCCTCTCCTTGCCTCCATTGGCAAACCCTCCTGTCCATGCTGCTCTTGTTCTTGCTCTCTACTTTCTGGGCTTTGGAGTATTCAGCAGCAGTTCAGATACCAATGCTACAAGTAGTGGGATTACAGAGGGATTACCAGAGGAGTGAGGTTGCCCCAGCCCCCTTCTGTCCTGGGAAGGTCCATGAAATGCAGTACAGAGAAATATGCTGACTCTCTCTTAAGGGAAAGTCCATCCTAAGTCCTGACAGTCCTCTGGCACTTGCCTCATGGTGTCCTGCCAGGCTACAACCTGCCCTCCAGAAAGGCTCTGCTGTCTCATAGCATATCTGTGATACTTGACCAACCCATGAGGAAGCTGTAGAGATGCTGAAAGTATGGAAGTGGTGGTGGCAGGCAGTACATGGGCATCAGAAAAAATCCCTGTGTCTTTTGCTAGAAGGGGAGATCTCCCTCTGATGCTCAGAGAAAGGAAGAAAAGGTGGAGATCGGCACTCTGAAAATGGACCCCTCTGCTCTCAGCAGGGGCTATAGTCTTTTTGGATAACATCATTGCCCAGCTAAAAGAAGTGTGAGCCTCAGAGATCAGGGAATGAGACAAACAGACAACATGATTTTATTAATTTGTTCATTTTCCTTGAAGAGTGTCTCCTAATTGGTTTCTGTCTTTTCCTCCTTGGTCAGCTAACCATGTCCATAGGGAGCAAATGTCCAACAGCAGCTCCTTCAATGAGTTCCTGCTAATGGCTTTTGCAGAGAGGCGGGAGCTGCAGCTCTTGCACTTCTCCCTCTTCCTGGGCATCTACCTGGAGGGCCTCCTGGCCAACAGCCTCATCGTCACAGCCATAGCCTGTGACCACCGCCTGCACACTCCCATGTACTTCTTCCTCCTCAACCTCTCCCTCCTCGATCTTGGCTGCATCTCCACCACAGTGCCCAAATCCATGGCCAATTCCCTGAGGAACAACAGGACCATTTCCTACTCAGGATGTGCTGCACAGGTATTTTTTCTTTCCGTTTTCGCTTTGGCTGAGTATTCTCTCATCACAGTCATGGCCTATGACCGCTACGTTGCTATTTGCAGACCCCTGCACTATGGGACCCTCCTGGACAGCAGAGCTTGTTTCAAAATGGCAGCAGCTGCCTGGGCCAGTGGCTTTCTGTATGCTCTCCTGTACACTGTGAACACATTTTCCATTTCACTCTGCCAAGGCCGTGTGGTGGAGCAGTTCTTCTGTGAGATGCCCCAGATCCTCAAGCTCTCCTGCTCACACTCCTACCTCAGGGAAGCTGGGGTTACTGTGGTTACTGCTTTTATTGTCTTTGGTTGTTTCATTTTCATTGTGGTGTCCTATGTCCAGATCTTCAGAGTTGTGCTGAGGATCCCCTCTGAGCAGGGCCGGCACAAAGTCTTTTCCATGTGCCTCCCACACCTGGCCATGGTCTCCATGTTTGTCAGCATCGGCACATTTGCTTACCTGAAGCCCCCCTCCATCTCTTTCCCAGTTCTGAATCTGGTGGTGGCCGTTCTGTACTCTCTGGTGCCTCCAACACTGAACCCCATCATCTACAGCATGAGGAACAGAGAGCTCAAGGACTCACTGAAGAAACTGGCTCAGTCAGTCCTAGAAAAAAGCTCCCTGTGGTTTAGATTAGACATCTAAACCACATTAACATAAGTGGTGTCTAATGTGTCTCAGATGGTTCTGTACTTTGGGCATTCTCTCTGTGTTTATCATGATTTTTTTTTACTGAAGTTTTTCAATTCTTCTTACTTTGCCAGAAGCATGGACCCCATCTGTCTAATTGCCATACCTGTTGTAAATATGTCTGGCCTTGTGGATCTGTGTCAGTCTTGGGCTGCACTCAAATAAAAGTGGATTTCTTCAGTGTAGTGCTTGAAGTTTGGGCTCTCCTTCCAAAGCTGGAGTCCATGATGTGCTCAAGGACTTTTACCCTCAAACAGTCTGTTACTCCTCTTAGACTCTCCAAGGGCTCCAGGGAATTATCTTTTAGATTATGTGTTAGGGAATGAGGGTTGGATTCAGTTCTCACCTGTGGGTGCTCAGACCTCCTGCAGATAGTGAGTGGTCAAGCCGTGTCTCCCATATGACAGGGCTGGAGATGGATATGAAGCCTCCAGGAGAGCACAGGGCATCTCCAAGGGCACCATGTTCCTAGGAGTGGATGGATCTTCAAAAACTCAAGGGGAGCCACCCAAAGGGAAAGGGCAAAAGCAGTGAATGTCCAGGCTAGGGAGAGCTCTGCAGTGCTGCAAGAGGCAGTGGGGACCCAGGAGGCCCGAGGAAGGGAGCCTGGAGAGTCACTGAGGTCACCTTCAGTGTCAGCATTTAGCTGCCTGGGCAGATCCTTCCTGTCAGCCTCAGTAGCCAGCCTGTAGCCAGAGAACCAGCCAGGCCTGCCCAGCCTCTCTCCCAGTTCAGACACCGGGGACGGCTCTCCACCAACCCCAACGTGGTACAAGGCTGGGGCCAGCAGGGTTTGTGGGGGTACAGGGCAGTGAGAACTGT